AGGCCGGTTTGCTCTGGATGCGTCATCAAAATATAAACTGCACAGAAACATTACCTCACAGACCTATTGAGATAGAACACGGAAGCAAAAACAACAACGATCAATGAGAAATTGCATGCACTCTATGTAAATATATAATAAAATCATTAGATACTGACCGCTAGTCAATTTGTTATTGGCTTTGTAATATCGTTAATTATTGTCAAAATCATTATCACTGTTCCCGAACCAAATAAAGAAAGAGTAACAAATTGTTCAGAAAATAATAAAAATGAATTATCATTACCCGAGTGTTAGGTGCTAAAGGCAATTTCGGAAATTTTAATGAACAACATTGTTGGTAATTATGTACGGAACAACTTTTCCATTTAAAGTTTTCTATTAAAATGTTATTTTCAGGGTGAAAATAAGTGAAAATAAACTTTTTTTGAGACTTTAGCGCCACCTACAATGCGCATGACATAAAACTCAACGCCCTCTACAATTATGGTCGAAAAAAAAAGTTTCTAAAATGCATACAAAACAAGAAAAATGCGTTTCAAAAATTTTTGAGGGTTTTTTTGAGTTTTTCAAAAAACGCCTACGAGTTGAACATGCCCATCGCCATCGTGGCTTACTGACGTCATTTGGCAACAGAAAAAACAAGACTTACTTTGACTTTGACTGTACTATAAGTAGTCCAAGTAATGACCAATTTATTCGACTAAATATAGCTCGGTCTCACTTCTTTTCGTTATGTCACCAATATCGGTTGCGGCAACGAAGGTCAACGGTCAGTGCTCGCCTCGGTGAAAGCGTCCAGCAACGTAAGAAGCCACAGAATTTCCGATCGTTAATTGAAGAAATCGGAAACAAACTTTAATTAGCAGGAGTCGTCGCGTGTCAACATATGGACGGTTTATAATGACATGTTATGAACCGCTTTCTGTCGAGCATCCGCTTAGTTCAAGGTACGATCAATAGTGGTTATTTTTATACGAAGGTATATAAGATAATAACTACTGATTAAGTTCATTTGATTTTGGAAAAGGAAAAGCAAGATTTAATAAACATTAGATGTATCTTAGAACGTATTTAACATCAATATCAAATTCAATACATATTGATGTCCCATTTACAGACCTACGTTATTCTTTGAAAATTTATTTTTTTATATCCTCCTAAACAATTCACCTCAAAATCGCTCTAGAATGTAGTAGATTAAACAATGTCTCGAATAGAAGGACAAGCATTAATTATAATTGTGCATTGTGTGTTATTTTATTAGCAGTCATGCTCGTGTGCTCCCTTAAATTAAACAAGTCGCCACCGCACTAGCAGTTGCCAAACACACTCACCTCGAGGTATTTGTTGCAGAATAACAATAAAAAGTTATTTTACTTTATTAAAATATGACTGTCTTTTTTCTTCATGAAACACAAGTACTAGTGATATGCAACACGGTGTGTGAAGATCCTAATTGCAAAATTTGCTGTCGAGGTTTAACTGTGGTTGCATCTTGGGATGTAAATGGCATATTACACCATTTTATTAGCATTATACTTACTTTGAAATGTGGCAAAAAATTATGTATGTTTTATATAAAATTTGAGCTGTTTTTTTAAAGAAATCTAGTGTGTTAATATTTTTTTAAAAATTATCCTGTTAATACTCTAACTCTTGTTCTGTATTAACCTTAATTAAATTATATTGTTTGCATCGCCAGTTTAATAATGCAGAACATGATAAATTGCAGATTTACGGTACATGTGAAAGTATGAAATTTTTCCAACAAATTTTATGAACACGCTGACCTATAAACCAACTTGAAGCTGATTATTAACAGCAGATTATTTGTGCGAGTCATGCGATGATTGAAAAAAATATTAACTCAATAAGGCAGAAGGTAGGTATGAAATTTCTTTTAAAATATGCGGCACTGACACGACTTGCTGCTGTGTTCTGAAATAACTGTAGTTAAACATGAAAAAGTTTTTGTTTTTGTGAAACAAAACAGATGTAATGTGCGTGATTCAGATCATTTCCTATCTAAGAACGTAATCTATGCGTGTTGGTTGACCGGACTGCGTTGAACATCTTGATTCTTGAAAATTGTGATATAATAGGTACCACAATGTGTGTAATACATACAATACAATAAACTTGGGCCCCCGTAATTTTCACTACTTATTACAATTTGTTTAAGAACTTCTTGTATGAAAAATTGAAATGTTTATTAACATGCAATAAAGGACTTTGTTAGTGGATGTTTCTCTACATAACTCAACAAAAATAGTACATACCTATGCGCAAGCTTTACTTAACTAGGAAAAGGATAGAAATCGTATATTCTTTAATATCGAAAAAACGTAAGTAATTATTATCTGTGTGTCAATAAACATAGTGGCATCATAATACTCTACATATTTTGTTTGAAATTCATCTTAATTTTCTCTATTCATTAATCCTACATAAAAACATTACACACCTAACGTAAATAAAGCAATATGTGTATGAATGACTTAACAGTAAATGTTTTACAGCTAAAATCTTTTCCGGAAAAAGCTCATTTTTAGCACTTGTTACTAAATGCTTCCTTGTTTCCTTAATATCCTCAAGAAATACAGTCACAGCCAAGTCAACACATATAAGAGGCCTTTATTACATAGTAATAAGAACCTTAATGATACAAATACTTGCAGTGCAAGTAAAATCAGAAGTAGTGGCCTTGACAATATGTAAGCACATTGGTACACTAAGGAACAGGCCTAGTTATTGAAACTCGCACATTACAACTATCTTTTGAGCTTTATCTTGATCCGCAATTGACTGTAGAAAATCCACATTGTGGTAACTTGATTTTTGATGTTACTGTAGCTATCATATTTTCTACATAAGTTAACATAAAAAACCGGCCAAGTGCGTGTCGTTACCACAATATATTCAGTCTTTATTTTCGATATCGGAAACAAGAAAATGCAATTAATATCAATCTATGTATCTCAATTAAAATACCTAAATCAAAGTCAAACTGCGTCTCAAACTCAAAATCAATTCGATATTAACTTTTTTTAAATACAAATGATAACCGCTGATTTTCGGCTGGGTGTGAAATCCTCATGGATACCCTACAGTCGACTGCAAGGTTATGTCAGACTCTTACTGACTAAAAGCTTCATCTGCAGCGAGCATCCCATGAGAAGGGGATAATGCGGTATAACCGCCGATCTTCTCAAGTGCTGATATACTTTTTATAAAAACGTAACGTTAGCGCGACTCAGAAGCCGTTGCAGTTGGTACTCGCGGTAGCGTTGTGGAACTAATGATATTTTATTGTGGTTTTAAATAGTTTTATTTTATTGCAGTGCAAGGTTTTACGCTAAAATAACTTCATTTATGTCACTATATATATTTTTTTCTAAGGAATTTTCAATAGGTTAGATTTTGGATTTTACTCCTTAAGAATCGATTTGCATATATAAGGGGCCCGGTATGAGAAAAATGTGAGGAGTAAAATCTATCGATGAAATACCTCGTTACGTTTTTGGTGCGCATCCTATGTCGCGCAACTTTGACAAACAAAGATGACGGATTGACATTAATATTTTTTTTAAAATCTGAACTGAATTTAGATATTGTTTCTGATAGAGCAATGGGGACAACGAGGTATGGTACAACCATTGATGCGGTATTTTCAAGATTCGTGAACCACGTATCTACGAACGTCCATGTGTCTTATTTTAGTTACCATAAACCACTTGTCACTGTAATTAATAATGCAGACAATGTTGATTTAATTAATATTTAAAAAAATGATAATAGTCTGATAATAATTCTGAAATTGACTATTGTAAAAAGTTTAATGTAAAATATTTCGTCGATTAGTTATAATAAATGTATATGAAATGAATAAATATATATTTATATATATATATATATATATATATATACATGTGATACATCATAGTCCAGTTATACACATATATATATATATATAATTTTTTGAACCTCCTCCTTTTTTAAGACGGGTAAAAATGAAGCGTCAGGGATAGTTAATTAAACTATAATCAGTACTGTCATTGCCAGTCCACTACAGAGATACCGTGGTCCAACTGCATCCTCCACCGTACAGAAAACTACAGTGAAACAATACTACGTTATGGGGGTGGTGCGTTTGTATCGGTAAGTAAAGTTTCCACGGATCCAAAGGGTAGGGATTGGGGTTAGGGTAGGCAATGCGCGAATGATATTCTGATATCGCAATATGGTTGCCAGATGTTCAGGAATCGACTGGATGCCCCCGTGATTTTATGTGATCAACAGACTACCGACAAATAACAAAATCTCATCAACAAAATGGTGGTAATGTTGGATCCGCCATCCGGAGGACCTTGTGGTAAAATGCCACATTTTCGTCATAGTATTCAGTTCTCAATAAAACGAACGCCAAAATTTTAAATTATTTTTTACAGAATTTAATCGTTTAGTTTACACTTGTGTTACTTGACTACTTACTACCAAGTGTATGTCAATGACAAAATCTTGCTATAAAACGTTAAGGTACTCGATCAAAATCGTTGACAGCAGTACTTTGAGCTATGCCATTATCTTTATACGACACCGAGAGTCACATACAACACAGGCGGCAGGTATTTACCTCCACTGCGGTTTTTTACTCGTAAACATTGGCATTGAGAACAATCATTTTTTTCAAGAGCCTTTTAAATATTTATCGAGGTCATTATTAAAAAGAAATACGTAACAACGCTAACAAGATTGGAAGAAAATGCATTATTACTTTTATTCTCAAGGAACTTTTAAGAAGATTTTAATAATATGACCTCTTTATTTCTTAGAAACCTATACCTACACACATGCGATTACTTACAAGATTTATTCATTTGGTACTTATTCTAAACAAAAAATTAACTAGGAAATTGTGAATCTGTTAAAATACGGAATGATAACATTTAAGCAGGTACTTATATTGTGAATTATCTTAATTTTAATCAATTACTCACCGCACAATATAATCATCCAAAGCTCCATTTTGCACAAAAAATCAATTTCTTGTATAATATCCAAAAATCGATCTTATTTTTAACGCTGTAAGTACGGTAACGTAATTTTCATCGGTCACGTAAACACGTCGAATAAGCCGTGCGTTTGGCGCCGGTGCAATTTTACGACCACGCGTGCGCTTGATAAAGTCTCGCGAAAGAAATGACTGCTCGCAGTGGTCGTAGCGCACGACCAATTTTGGGCGGGAAAAAGCTGTCCGGCTCTCAGGAGTACCGACTACGTATCTTTACGTACATACAATTGCGTACAATGTAAGTATGTAGAAAAATAATACAGAAGGTATTTTTAGTGTGGTTTACAGGATTCCCACGCTTGGCACACTTAACACTCGCGGTCGTGTACGTGGTAATACTTAACATACAGTAGGCAATTCATATCGACGGCCCTTGGATAATGAATTGGCATTGTTACTGACATTACCTTGGCGTTGTGTGTGCTTATGCTTATGAATGAAAGTATACATTTTTATTAAAGTCAGATAGAGGTGTCGATTCTGGCGTGATTCTCTAAACTTAAAACTAAATTTAACATCAATCTCTCCTTTTCATTCCGTATAGAGAATGACAAGGATACACTGTTGTCAAATTTAAGTTTAGGTTTAGAGAATCGTGTCAGAATTGACACCAGATAATATGTATATGAAATTAAATGAAAACAATTTTACTTTCACTACATTAAATATTTGAAACGCCAGCGCTCCTTGATTTTACTCTTTACATGTCGTGGTTTTGTATTTTGTTTTTGTAACAAATACGATTGCATAATTTGTTGTATTTAATATAATAACAAATATTTTCAACACTCACACCAATTAGTCTAGCCCCAAAGTATGCGCTGTAGGTTTGTGTTATGTAAATAGGTACTAAGGTAACGGATAGAATATACCTAGTCAGGTCATAAATTCTGTCACATGTTTAATATAAAATAATTGAAACAAGTTTATTCATTATGTAAACATTTATATACCAAAATGAACTTACCAAAACATAGATTCTTATGACAATAAAGTTTATTCAAAATGACCTCCGTGATTTTGAATACAGGCCGTCAATCTGCGCGGCCAGTCGTCTATCGCAGCACGAACGAGGTCCATGTCAATATCGGCGGCTGCCTTAATCAAGGATGTCTTGAGTGACTATAAATTGGGATGAGGCTTTGAGCACGCCTTTTCCTTGGAGTTGCCATATCTTGTATTCTAACGGACTGAAATCTGGACTGGAGTAGGGCTAGTCTTCGTGCCGGATGAAGTCGATTTCACGCGCCGCCAGCCAGTCTTGTGTGCTCTTCGCTCTATGAGCTGGCGCCGAATCTTGTTGGAATACCCAGTGCCTGTTATTGAACATGGTATGAGAAACAGGTTCCACAAGGTTCGTCAGGACTGTATTTTGATACATAACTGCATTCGTTTTTAGACCTTTCTCACAAAAATGTACCTCTGTTAAGCCCCAATAAGAAACTCCCAACCATACCATGAGCAAGGATGGAAAATGACCTCGTTGGACACGCGGAATACGGTTGCTCGCTTCTTCACTACTGTGTGCGTACACCTTACCATTTTGTTTTTTGTAGATCTCTTCTACGGTAAAATTTTTTTCATCCGAAAACAGAATTTCCTGATATTTTTTTCCCGCGTACCGCTTCAACAAAGCGCGGCATCTCTTCAGTCTTAGGTCCATTAGACGAGCAATCAAACGATGTCCTGTTTTTCTTCGATATGCCCGAAGCCCTAAGTCTTCATTTAACACCCTTTTCACCGTGGTTCTGCTTAACCCCATCTGAAGGGCCAACAGTTTCTGCTTACGTTTGGGATTTCTTTGAATTCGCGCCTTCACAGCTTTTATCACTGCTGGAGTCCTAACAGACCGAGGGCGACCACTTCTTGACCTGCCATCTACACTAGAGTCTTCATTATATCGTTTGATGGTACGATAATCGAATCTTTTGGTTATATTAAAATTTATCAGTATGTCAAAAATTTGAATTGACGCGTAACCGCAATGATGCAACGCAATAACTGCAACACGGTCTTCTTTAAGCGTCCACTCCATATTTAAAAAAGAGTAAAATTCTAAAAAGTATACATTTTTATTTTCATGGACAATTCGAATTTCGAATATAAGTGTATTTATATAGAAATTCATATTTAACATCCATGACTGTAGTTCAAATGTTCGTATACATCAAACAAACATCTGTTCCCACCGGGATTCGAACCCTCTCGAATAGGCAACACCATGAAACCCGGCGTACATTCCACTCGGCCACGGATGTCGTCAAAGTAAGGTAAGCTTTCGACTAGAAATTTTATGTTAAATTAATTAGCTAAAACTGAATTTTTATTTATATGTTTACAGTAGCATTTAATTTTGAACGACTAGATAGTTTGCCACTTGAGTGGCCCAGCAGATCATCTACCTAGATTTAGATCAAGTTTGAGGATAACTTAGGTAACTGTTCATCGTTTCTACTGAGAAGTTGTACTATCGTTTTGTAAACTAATTTCGTATGGCAAACAAAAAGCAGCAAAATCACTACACTGTTGATTACAGTAGCTTTTATAGTTCCAATAATATCACGTGATAAGTGATGTTTGTGAACTTTTGGCACACTATCAAAGTATTTTTTCATCACTACAAATCTGCTTAATAAACTCGACCATAACGTTCAAATTAATTTTGGCTTTTTCATAAAAAATATGAATTTTCCACCATCTCTATACCAAATTTAAGAGGTAACAGACAGATAGACACACTTTGCTCATTTATATGTAAAGATAAATGATGGGGAAAAACGCCTACAAGAATGCGTAAAGCCAAACTAGCAAGAAGAATATTGACTGTTTAGAGATCACTTTCGTCTAACGGCGTATTTGTAAAAACTTCGAAAGAATAAAAGAAAGGATGTATGATCAAGGACGATTTGGAAGATAAATGAAACAGTAATTTAGTATATATCAATCATGACTTTATTTCATAAATCAGATAACAACGATATTAAGAATAATTTATCATCCTCACCTTGAGAATACAAATCACCATAAAAATCATCACTTATGATGGCAGTGACCAACAGAAAGAAAACTATTACTTAAACTACCTTTACAATTTTCTGCGAAAAGCAACACAAAATTTTACCCAAACATCTACAGGTCTTGTTTTCTTTGTTTTGGTTTCTACTGTAATTTCCCTGATACAGGAAAATAGGTAAGTTTTCATTGTTCTTGAGTGTATTTTAAAACAGTAAAAGTTGAAAAGTATAGTAATTATATTAAAGTAATTTTAGCGGACAGTTTATTTCCACCAATTTTCTGCAAAATCTGAATAGTTAGTAGATGTAGGTAGGTATAGCATGCCAATATTTCGGCTGTTTTTTTGAGATATCAAATATACGGACTCAAATCTGAATTTCTAGTGAAATCGTTAAATTTCTAAGTTCCAATTATTGTTGATATTCCTACTTTGTTCCTACTATTATAAGTGTATTATTTACCTATTTAACGACAGATAATCACAGTTTGCATGAACTTTAGAATTTTTATCTCAAAAAAAACAGCCGAAATATTGGCATGCTATACCTACCTACATCTACTAACTATTCAGATTTTGCAGAAATATGGTGGAAATAAACTGTCCGCTAAAATTACTTTAATATAATTATTATACTTTTCAACTTTTACATTTTTAAAATACACTCAAGAACAATGAAAATAGGTTTGTTAAAAGTCGTTATACCAATTTTTATTACTCTGAGATTTCAAATTACGCGCTCGAATAGTTCTTTGTGACATAATAACGTCTAATTTAAGGGATATATGTGTAATAACGTCATATTCAGATGATAATTGACAGGTTTACTTCGTTCATAGGTTTAAGTGTAAGAACACCCCTAGATGCATTTGCATATGCGATCCAGGAGCTGAAAGGACATCTTTCACGTCCTTTTAAAATGCCCCCTCCACAACAATGAAAGACTCCGTAAAGTTTGGGCTCGTGTGATTCGTCTTGAGGACAATTTTGTCTTTAGATGGTATCCGGGGTCTGCTGCCGGAGCAGGAAGGTTGCCATAGGAACTCCGTTATAAAACAACATATAATTTTTCTTAAACAATATTTTATTGCTTGTTAATAAAAAGAAATACAAGGTTAAAAATAATATGTCTGATAACAAATTAAAATTTTAAAGGTAATTTATATCCCATTTTGCTTAATAAAAGCGTGTTCCCAAGTTCACGATAAACCGTTTCCCCATTAAAAGGTGATTCTAAATCGACCGTAATTTATTTTTCTTTTTCTTTTTAATATGTTCTCTTCCACTTGGTGCGGGTTTCATCCTTTTCAGATTTTTTGACCTCAAATTATCGTCCCTGGTCCTATAAAGCTTGATGTAAAAATTTTCTTAAATTGGATAAATTAAGGCTCGCGAAATTTCTTAATAATCATAAAGTGGCATTTAGGATACCTTGAATTATTTGTTTAAAAAAACAGATTTACTAAAGGAAAATTTTAATCTCTGGAAACATAGGGTTAAAAAAAAACTCTTCCTTAAAATTAATGTTTTACTCGCCTTCTTCACATGATACCTTGTTTGGTCATAATCGACATTTACTTTATTAGTTTTACTGTCCACTTCAATATGACCAGAAATAAAAAGAAATGTTACTTTTATCAACCTTCAATTTCACAATAACAAAGAAACTTAAGTGCTATATTTTACATGTATTTACATCTAGAAGCCGAAAATTAAAACGTCACATATTTTTAGAGCTGCTTAACTAAAATAAGGTCTACTAAATGCAATCAAACAATATGGATTTATCGGAACAGTACGTAACGAAAAATACTAATTTCTACAATGCTGTAAATGTTTACCCTAACTTAAAGTTAAGCAGGTTCGGCCGTGAAAAATTGTCGATAAGCCTTATATTTGAAGTGAAACTTCTTTTAGGACGGGGTGTAAATGGAAAAATCCAATGGCAAAGATGAAACGTAAATGAGTCACGAGCGTCACACGACTATCATATATATATATGTGTATGTGTGGGATGCGTGCGCAGCTCTTTCCGACGAGCATGAAAGTTGGAGGGTAACTCAGCGAAGGCTGAAACGCTACGAGCGTCACATGCGACAATATATATATACAATTATATATATCAATATATGAGTGATGTGCGCTGCTCCATTCCCGTATACCTTATGCACCGCCTAATGTTAGGCTATTAAGAAAAGAAGTTTCACTTCAGATATGTGGTCCATGCACACAATTTTTTTTAGTACTATTTGTTTTACTTACAACTATCTTCCTAACATATTTTGTT